TTAGGTTGTAATTGAAATATTGCAATGCACAAAGTTACATTGGATTTGAATGATTGTTACCTTTTTGTTGACAAAAGTTGCGTCATTGTTTGCTTAAACTAATACGTACAAAAATAAAATAAATGCATTACCGAGTAGGCCCTCAAAACACGACAAATTTACAACCATGCCGGTATATAATTATCCCAACTTGCTACAATTAGTGATTCTAATTAATCGGCCAAAATTTTATGAGAGAAGAAATTTTTTAATGTAAATTTTTTATGAGATAAAAAATACTGATAAAATCATAATTATGAGTTTAAGTATAGGAACTTAAACTTTCAATTCTTATAAAACTCGGATTCAAACGTTTCAGAAAACGTTCTTCGCTAAAATTTTAATCGTTTCAAATCTTATCAATTAATTTTTCTGTTTTTCCTTAATTTGTAATTAACTACGTCTTAGAGTTAGATTCTTAAAATTTGAACTATGCAAAGTTTCTTCATCTCGTCGCGATCTAAAAGTTTCATGTTTCGCGGTAAATGAGGTTCGGCCTCGGAACGGTCCGAAATCTTAAAAATAGCCGCTGCACAAATATTATTTTACGCAGTTTTTGAAAACGGCCTAAAAACGCGTCCTAGAATCAGAATTGTGATTTTTCACAGTCATATAGATTTGTCCATAACGTCGAAAACTTTAAGCCCTACATGTAAAAAATCCTGAAATTGCCCTCTAAAGGGCCCAAAAACAGTAAAAACAGAGACTGGCTCAAATTGACAGTTTTAGACAGTTTTTATGAAATTCTGAACAATTTTGGAAAATGTCTAAAAACATATTTTAAAGGCAGAATTGAGATCTTTCTTAGTCATAAAGAAATGTTCAGCACGTCGAGATCTACAATTTTTAAATCAAAGTGTATTGAAATTTTTAAACCTAAACAGAAACTTGTCAACTTAACTTTTTTTTTTTTTGCATCTTTAACCTCTTAAAATTAACATGCAAAGCTTAGATCTTATTCTAAACACACAAAACAACAACCTTAGACCATAAAATACAAATTAAAAAAACATGGATTTAACATTAAAACTCCTTGCATGTGAAGATCTAACCTTTTAACACACATATAAACAATAGAAGCACAAACTTTGTAACCTAACCAAACTTCGTTCTTAAAGTTGAAATGATCAAGATAAGTTTTAAAGAATCTTACCACAAACCTTAGGAGATGAATGGTTTTGACCACCAAAGTGAGAAATTCCTGCATAGATTTAAACTTTTAAGGAAAAGTTGGAATTTTGAACAAAGAAAACCAAATGAGAAAAGTTTTGCATTTTACCCTTAAATGTGCTAGGAATTCCTACACAAATTTATTCTCCCTCTTCTAGATTGTGGTTTGAAGTCTTCCTTGTGTGAGAGAATTGGAAAATTTTTTAGAGAGATAGCTTGAGGGGTTCGGCCAAACAAGGAGAAAAGAGAGAGAGAAAGTGAAAAAATAAAGGAAATGGTGAAAGTGAGCTTAATTTGAAGTGGCGGTAGATAATTGGCTAAGCTAACTTATTACTAATTAAGGCCTTCTTAATCAAGCTATATGGACTAGAATTTGATTAAAAAAGTGCTTACTATGGCTGGTCATACTTAGTGAGAAGAGAGAAAATTTACACTTAATGATGACTTAAAACCCTTGTCATATTAAGGTTAAATCCTTGTCTCCACTTTGTCTCCCAAAGATTCTTTCTTAAACTGATTAAACTTGTACTGACAGTAAATTTTAGATCAGTTAACAGGACAAATAATTTCTAAAGGTTTTTAGTTTACTGTTTAAATCACAGTCCAACACTATATTTAAAAGAAATTAATATCGATATAGATTTAAAATCGCGTAAATTATTTGGGATGTTTCCACACTTTAAATTTGTCTTAAAATAACTTAAAATCTAAGTTTAACATACGCGTCTTAAACTCTCAGTAAAACATAATAACTGACAGTGTCGATTTCTGAGGCCGGCTTTACGGTTTTACCGAAAACGCGACTCGTGTAACACCGATTTTACTAATTGGCAATTAAGGATTTCTTTAAATGTAAATTGCTTCTCAGAGCACTGCTAACACTGTACAATACTCAAAAAGTTTTATGAACAGAATCACGAGTCATAGTCGAATCGAAAATTTCTCTCGTCATAAATCGCGGTGAGGATTATCGACCAAGCCATAACATAAAAATTTTCGACATAAAATTTTTATATAGAATTTTAGAATAATATTATTAATTCCACAAAACCTTCATTACAAAACATGTCATTATCCAGGCAATTCATGATTTAATTATGTAAATTACACTAAGTAACATAAGGATTTTTTTAGTCATTACATTTTGTGACACGACCTATAGTTCGTGGGGTAGCTGTGTAATTTTTCCTTCAAATTTTACCCAAAGGAGAAAGTTTGCAAGAATTTCAAAGTCGGGGGGAATGAATATTACAAATTAAAGTTTAGAGGAGCATTTTGTAACATGACCTGTAGTTCGGAGGACAACCGTGCAATTTGTCCATTTTATAAGCACATCCGGTTATGCATAAACATATTTATTATTATTGATGTGCCTTTCAATATTATTTATATACTTATTCAAGACCAATGTGTATGAAGTCGTTTATTGTCATATGTTTAAAAACAATTTCTGATTTACAAAATAGTAACTGTTATGACTTAATACAAGATAATTATGTCAGCCCTTTAGTGGGTTATGATGGAGAAATCTCCCCTACAAAAGTGTTGCTAGTTCGCAGAAAATGCCTTTTTTTAATTTTAATTTTTGTTAAAAATATAAACTCTGTTGTTTTACTAAAATAACCCTTTTATATGCTGAAAGAAAACCTTTCATATTAGCTCACATGTACGACACATGATTCATTCTGTTAATAACTTAATGAGATTTGACGGAAATGTTTAATTTGCCAATGTTTAAAAAGTTTAAGGGTTGTTTCATTAATACTAAAAGAATATGGACTCAACTCTTATCTGCTAAATAGTTTACAAACCATTTCTGCCAATTTTCATGTATCATGAGCCACTCATGTGATACTTTATCTATATCTATAACCTATAACATACATAAAAAAGCCTAACTTTTTTTTCTCCCATACTCCTCTACTTACCGAGTGTCAAACTCTCATCATTTTTACCTTTTTGTCTTTTACTTTTATTATTTCTTCTTTTACTTTTTCCCTTTCCTTATTTATTACCTTTTATTATTTTTTTCATTTATAAAAGATGCCATGCACTTTAATTATTATAATATATTTCTTTAATCAAACATTCTTTTCTCCTACACCCCTCCACTTGTCAAGTATCAAGGTCTCATCATTTTTACCTTTTTATCTTTTACTTTTGTTAATTCTTCTTATTTTTTCTATTTCCTCATTTGTTTCATTTTATTTTATTTTTAGATTTTGAAAAAGATGCTCTACACTTTAATTATTATAATATATTTCTTTAAAATATAGTTTTTCCACAATTTTCTCCTATTAAAATTATCTCTTTCAAACGTAAAATCTCTTCTATATGGGACTACCACATGTCATTATCTATTCTTACCTCTTTTTTTTCTCTTTTCTTTTACTTTTTTTATCTTTATTTTTTATATTTTAAATGTTTTTTATTTTTTTGTGAATGCCTTTTTTTACATTTTAATTTTTTGTGCGTTTTTAAAAAATATATTTTCTCACTTTATTCCTATGAAAGTAAATTTCACATGTATTTCTATTCAATTTTTATTTGTATTTTTATGTATTTCTATATTTTGTGTGTTTTATCAATGGTTAAAGTAATTCTTTTCAAATGTGTCTTAACTTAATTATTTTCTATATAATTCTAATCATATCAAAAGTTATTTTTACATATATTTTTTTCTAAAACAAATTAAAAAATTTCTTAAATAGTTTTATAAATGAAATTTTCATTATTCGGTGAATAATAAACACTTTAAGTGTTTCTAACAAGACATACGTGCGAAGCAATTTTAAAAACTAGTGTATCACTTAAAAGTAGCAAAAATGATAAAATTATTAATAAAATATAGATTGGAGACACTATAAGAGTGCGTTTAGAACTCGTTCTAAAATGATTTTATTTTTTGTATGAAAATGAAAATGAAAACGTTTTCAATCTCAGACAGAAATAATTTTTGAAAATGTGTTTGGTAGTTTTATCAAGAGATTTTTTTCAGTGTAAAAAAGCCCGTTAATGTCTCTATTTCTCTCTCTCTGCTCGAGAGAGGAGAAAACGAAAACAAAAAAATGAAAAACGATTAAAAGTCGTTTTTCATTTCTCTCTCATTTTACAATAAACTAAAAAATCGTTTTCATTTCCGTTTTTTGTCTTTATTATGCCAAACGTCGTTTTGGAAACATTTCTATTTTTTCTTTCTTAAAAAACGTGAATAAGAAAAACATGATCAACTTCAAACACGGCCTAAACGTCGTTCACTTTGTAAATTTGAGTTTTTAATTCAAATTGAAATATGTAATTTTTTAAGAATTTTTAATTGTAACTAAAAAAAATGTAATATTTTCTAAAATCTTTTAATTATAAAAATTTAAAACTAAGGGGACGTTTAGTTGGAGGATTCAAACTATGATTTGAATCATATTTCATGATTTGCTACAGTATTTTCTCTCATAAAAAATACACGTAAATAAAAAATAATTCTAATAACATGATTCTAATCCATGAACCAAACGTCTCTTAAAACTTGAATCAATAGAAGACGTTTGGTTCATATATTAGAACTATGTGATTAGAACTATTTTCAATTTACGTGTATTTTTTGTGATAAAAAATACTATAACAAACTACGAACTATGATTCGAATAAGAGAACGAATTCCCCAACTAAACAACACTTAAAATAAACAATATCTAATATTGTGAATGCAGGTGTGGCAAACAAAATATTATAAGTGTGATAATTTGAGGAGAATTTTTTATAATTAATCTAAAATAGTGTCTAATATTTACTCTCTTCCTCCTTTTTGCAAACCCTAATTCGTTGTCTCTTGCTCTCTCCTCCTCCATTTGGTAGATTGTTGAATGCGCCGTAAGACCCACGCTTGGCCTCTCGGCAGAAACGAGTTTGGGAGTCGATTTCTCAAAACCATCCGCGCTGCAACTCCTGATTCGACGGCCAAATCTGCTCTTGAAGATCCAAATTCGCGACGTGAAGTTGACGGATCTGGTGGTTGACGAGGTTTTCTTAGAGACGCATCCGTACAGTTCGGATAAGACGATTCTTCTGGTTGTAGGGTACTTTCTTACTTTTGTGAAACTTAAATCTCTTTTTCATCTTCATCTTCTCTTTTATTTTTCATTTTTTTTTTGTTTTTGCTAAACCTTCTTCCTATTCATTTTACTTTGTTTTCCACACTGAAAGATCAAGTCTTATTTATTTTGTTAGTTTGAATCATAATTCAACTTTTTTTTATAATTTTTTTCTTATAAAAATTTAAATTTAAAATTTTCAGTTATAATATTTTCTCATAGATTCACTTTTTAACTAAATTTTTTAACTCGAACAAACAAAACGAACGAGATCTAAAGATGTATTTAGCCATCTCAACATATAAAAGATTTGATAGTATTTACAATGAGTTTTTTCGGTGGTGTTTGCTATTATTTAATTTTTTCAAGGAAATATGATGATTTTTAAATTTTTTTTTAAAGATTTTCACTCTTTATATCACTTTTATTCATGAATGTAAAGTAAAAAGACTGATGAAGGTTTTTGAATGAAGAGTTTTGAAAGTAGGAGAAGTTCTTCATTCTTGATTCCTTGGTCTAATGTTTAGTTATTTTGATTCCTTGGTCTTTATATTTATTTGTTTTTGACATACTCTAATTCTAACTTCTTTTCTCAATTTTCCTAAGATTGAGATTGGGCTTCGTGGACAATATGAAGGTATATCAACAACACATTAACGTTAAAGACAAAATTGAGGTATGAGTCATAATTGAGAGATAGACCATCTCTAATGTAAATATTAAAATCAATTGTATATTTAATATGATATGACTTATTATTTTCATTTCTGCTCAAATGCATAATGCTATTTGAAATTTTAAATTTATTTCTTCTCATAATCATTAAGTTTTCAAAGTTATAAAAGTAAATTTTTATTTTTAAAATAATCAGAAAATGTAAAAATTACAATGATCACATAAAAAAATAAACATTTCAATCAATATTCATCAAATGCTAAATCTCTTATATGACATATTTAGTGAGAAATTTGTAATAAAATATAGGATATAAAAAGTTTTGGCACAACAAATGACATTGTATTGGTGAGTGTTTTTTACTCTTAAATGTTAACATTTTAATTGGTACATAATTATAGCATTGCATTGAAGATGCTCTATTAACTGATCAATTATTTCTTAGTTTGGATGCAATTCCATAGACCACGTTAAATGTGACTGTTTCTGAGAGCTTTTTTACTGTAGCAACAGATACACCCAACAAACACGCGTATGGTCACCGATAAAAGTAATAAACCATTTGCGATTAGTGACACTTTAACACGTGAAGGACCCATATGTCGCTATGACTTAAAGTAAAAGGCTTTGAAGCACAATAGGTTTGAGATGGCAAGAAGGCACATTTACGTTTTGCTAATTGGCAAATTTCACATTGAAACAAATCATTTCTATTCTGAAACAAGGAAGGAAACAAATATTTTAAGTACAAAAAACTAGGATGTCATAGCCTACGATGGAGTAGAATAATTTTTTCTTTCCTAGAAACGGCAGAGTGATCCACAACAGTATGAGCATGACTACTCACAGATGCCTCAACCTCCTTAGCACTGCCAATCTTCCTCCCCGTAATCAGGTCCTGAAAAACACACGTAGAAGAGGAAAAATTAACCACACAATTTAGTTCTTTAGTAATCTTACTAATAGAAATAAGATTGCATGATAAACTCGGAACATGTAGAACAGAGTTAAGGGTGATTGTGGAATTTATTTTGATGGATCCCACTCCTGCAACCACGGAATACAAGCCATAAGCAACCTTAACTTTATGGTTTCCTGGACTCGGAGTGTATGACTGAAAAAGTCTGACAGCTTGTCATATGATTAGTAGCGCTCGAGTCAATAACCCATGGCTCACCTTTCTCTATCATGCCTCTAAAGAATTAATTCTTCTTTGCCATAAGAGAAGTACTTGATTGTTGCTTTCCAAAGAAAAAATTGCAAAACTGCTCCATTTGAGCCTTGGAAAGGGTGAGACTCCCAGTGTTTTGCTCCGGTTTTGAGTCATGAGTGGCTTGAAGTCCTCTACTATCTCGATTTTTAGTCGGTTAGGAACCCAATTGGTTGGTTTACCATGAATCTCCCAGCAGGTTTCCTTGGTGTGGTAAGGCTTTTGGCAATGATCTCACCAGGCATGTCCCTTTTTGGTGGACGAGCGAGTGTTTCCTCATTTGTTTGGTGTCTGTGCAACTAACGCCGAGGTTTCAATGGTAGTGGTCGCTGTTTCTATATTCTTCACGCCGAACTTCAGAAAAAACTTCATCAATGGCTGGCAGTGGTCGCATTCCAAGAACACGGTCTCTCACTTCATCAAGTTCTTTGTTAAGACTTGCCAAAAAATCATACACGCGATCTTTGTCCTGCATTTTCTTAAAAAGAACAGCGTCTTTGGGATCCCTCCATTGACAGGTGTTGAAAAGATCGAGTTCCTGCCACAATTTCTTCAAGGAATTGAAGTATTGAGTCACTTCAAGGTCTCCTTGTTTGAGGTTTCTGGTTTTGTTGCGAAGTTCGAACAACTGAGACGAATTTGCTGTGGGATAAAACAGGAACGTGTCACCGATGCTATCCTCCATGGAATGGATTAGCTAGGCCATCACCATCGAGTTCTGAGTGTCCCAATTGGAGTATGTCGGATCAGTAGGCTTTGGTTTGGGAATTGTTCCATCCAAATATCTGATTTTGCCTTTGCCTCTAATCACCATTTGTGCTGATCGGGGACCATTAGAGAAAATTCTTCCCGTTCAGTTTGTGAGTTGTGATTTGCAGAGACATAGGTGAGTTTTTAATGACGACAGTGGGAATGATTGTGGAGATACTTTGTGAGGTACTTGAGGTAGCCTCAGTTCCTCTTCCTCCTCTCATTCTTGTTGTTTAGTTCTTCTCAACTCACAAGTAGCCTTTAATGCTATGATACCATATAAGCTAAATGGAGGAGAAAAACAATTTGAACACTGCTATTATTAATCAGAAAATTTAATTACTTTACAGGAGAAATACTCTTTATATAACCTAGGAGAACGAGTCTAACTAACCACATAACTTCCTAAAAACAAGGAGATAGAAAAGCTAACAAATACAACAGCGTTACAACCCCAAAATACACGGATAATCTAACCACATTCGCTAACAAGAAATAATAATTAAAAATTGTGTTCCTCTCTCGAACATGCATCAACAATGATGGGGTCACACACCACAGCGTAGACTAGGAGTCGCACCCTGATATTGGCGTGACTGTGACCGTAGCACTCCCTCCAACGATGCCATTCACGCGTGACTTGGGTGCAACGATGTGGGCATCGTCCATTTGTATATATATTTTTTTGTTTTAAACTCTTGATTTTTTTTTTCATGCAAAATCTAATAGGGAGTTTTGATTTCATTTCGGTGCACGTAAAAGTCAAGTATATGAGGCATAAGTGGCACATGCCTAAATAAGTTGCGGTATACTCTTCTTTGCTTCCCCTTAGGGCTTAACAAGGCTAAAAGAAGTTGCTTAGCTTAATGATTGCCTCACCTAGAAATTGCCTTTTTAAACAAGTGACTGCTTAGATAATTTAACATTGAGAATTTAGCTATGTTTGGTTTGGTGAAATGACCGTAGGAATAGAATGATAACTCTTAAAGGACAATAATTTATGTCTGTGGTTGGGCAAAAAGACTTAGGAATAGCTATTCCTTTGGAATGAATATTCTTCCAAAATGTTTTCCTGAAATGGAATGGAGTGATCCTTCATTGCAAATCTGATATTAACAAGATTGGTTGTATCCTAAATTATCCCTCCCAATATAGACATTATTAAATATCAAATTTTGTATGCTAAATCCGTTTACGTTGTCAAGATTGATTAGTGTGCAATGCATGTGCTCACATGTTTAAACGTGATTCGTAATGTGTAGACGCAAACACTACTTGTTATCACGAATTTCCACCTGGGAACTCCTATTCCGCGTGATATTACAAGACTTGGGTTGACTCAAGTCTTTCTGCAAGTTGTGTTTCTTTTGAGAATGTAATGTGGCCTAATGTCGTGCCAAAGAAGGAAACTTTTCCATATAGCACAACCGTCCTTGATTTGAGTTTTCCCCCTTTCAATGTTGTATTCGTACTCTTTACAATGTATGTGGAGGGTGCAGCTGATGGTCGTCTTCTTTATTCCAATGCATTCTATTCAAGGGTTGAAGGTGGAGGTGCGCATTGAAGAATCTTAAGCGAGAAAACATTTAAACAAGAGAAAATCCACTAGCTTTCCACTTCCTCTTGGTGGTAAGTTTCTTTCAGTGTCATAATGTATCTGCTCAACCACCATTCCTATACTAACATTTCTACAAGGTATTTATGAGATATGTATTTAGTTTATTGTATGTTGTTTGTTATGGATATGGCTACATATGTTATTTCAAGGTTTCAACGTGTTCGGGGTTATAGAAGGTGAAAAGGATCAAGTGGCAATATGGCATTCCATATATCTCATCAGTAGATGTGTTATTGTCTTTTGGTTTTTGGAAGTTTGATAATATTGTGGGCTCATTTAGGAATCTGATTTGTGCCCATGACCATAAAAGGACATGTCTTTCTTTTGTGGATATTTTTTGGGAAAACTGAGAGGTAGGCGGACTAAAGCAGATTATATCTATACAAGGGGAAGTCCTATTTTAAGGCTTTTGACATGTTTGGGTTTATAGAAGGTGAATAGGGCCAAGTGGCAATATGTCATTCCATATACATCATCTACAGTTGTGTTATTGTATTTTGTTTTTTAAAATTTGATTATTTTATACGGTCTCGTGTAAGGAATGCTATTTTTGCTTGAAACCATGGGCCCATTTGGTAAATAGGTTTGAAACATGGTGGTTTGACATTTTGTTGTTCAAAATGAAAAGTTTCAAAGATGTGGTTTGAACTTTTGTTTGAGAAGAGAGAAGTGGGGGAACTCAAAATCCTCGGGTGTTTGTTGGTTCAAAAAATCAAGGGTCTGTTTTGGTAAATAGGTTCAAAATATGGTGGTTTGAACTTTTGTGGTTTGAAATGGAATGTTTGAAAAGTTTGGTTTAAACTTGTAGTCCGATATGACGTTTGGATATAAGTTGAAGTGTCGTTTGAAAAGAGAATAAAATCTGAAATTGTGTTTTGATATGTAACTAAAGGATGTTTTTTGTGTGAGAGGTGAGAGTCGAGTTAAAAACACCGTAGAAAATTGGTTCGGAATGTTGAAATTAGGTGGAAGGGGTGATAAATCAAAATTGATGCACTTTTTTGGTTTAAAATGTCGCATCAGAAGTTTGAAATGGTCTCCAAAATTTTTACCAAACGGCTACTTAGGTCCATTTTTTGGTTCAAACTATGTGAACCATTTTACCAAACATGCTACAAATTATCAGTTTGAACCAAGCCTTAAAAGGTTTTGCCAAATGCTGGTTCAAAACAACTTTTTGGTTCAAAACACTTGAACCTGTTTGCCAAATATCCTCTATGTAAGAAAGGATGCGTCTTACTTTTGTGGATATGCTTTGGGAAAATTGAGAAGCATGTGAGCCAAAGCAGATTATATATGTAGAAGGAGATATCCTAAAGATATTTATAAAATCCAATTTTGGTCAAGTGATGGTTTTACCAAATCTATCCTGAAAGTCGTGCCATCAAGAATGTGGATTTGAAGAGGAGGTGACTAGTATTCTTAGAGAGGTGAGGAACCTAACATGAAAGAGTGAACTTCGAGGCTTGAGGGTAATTATGGATGAGTAGTGGAGGAGCACAGTATAGTTGGATGTTGTAAATTGCTTGTCTCCTCAAATAAGGATAAGAAAGATTTGGTCATTTTCCCTAGTTTATTCTTGGGCTTCTTATTTTCTAGATGTTTGTGGTTTACAGTTTTGCAAGAGTTTTGCCACATTGGGTGGCTCCTTTGATTCGTGTTGATTTGTTTGTCTTGTCGTATCTAATTGGCTTCAACAAGAGAGGAGAAAGAGAGATTTACAATTTCGCTGTTTTGGTTTGCATTGGGACGAAGCACTTTGGTTAGAAAGGAAATAAGAGGATTTTTGTGGATGTGGATGGAAAGGTTGGCGCGATGTGGGAAAAAGTTAAATTTTGGGTTGCAATAGATGCATGAAGATAAAGTTTTAGAATTTTTAGTGTTCAAATTGAGTTAGGGAGTGGCAATTGTTGTAGAATACTCTATATTTCTTTTTCTCAATCATTTCTCTTTCTTTTTTCCTTATTTGGTGAACATCCTTTCGTCCTTGTCTTGTACTTCACGATTCCTTTTGGTTTTATGAAGTATTGTTTGTATCGAAAAGAATACCAATCTCTAGTACTTGGATTGTACATCTACAGGAGTTATGGTTCGTCTTTCGTGCTATTTGTACATTTATATATGTATGAACTCCGTCTCTTTAGGTTCTTTAATCTATTTGTATCTTTTCTTTTTCTACCAAATAAACTGAGCTTGTGATCGATTGTACATTTTTTTTTAAGTTTAAAGTCCGAGACATTAGGAAGTTATATGGTAGTGTAGTCGATTTTTTGTTTATTTGGGATTTAAATTTGAAATGAGTACACTTAAAAAAGTCAAAACTTGGGGTATATTTAAAATTTTTTAAAAGAATTTTTTAGACATTCTGGGAGAAAAATTGTAAAATGTTTCTTTAATGGCAGCAAAAGCTTAAGGAGATCTAAGGCCTGGGGGTGAAGCTGCCCCCTTGAGCCTAAGGTAGCTCCAGCTATGCTCCTACTTGCTAGGCCCTTGCTACTTTGTTAGGAACATTTTTTTAGCCTTATAACCTATTTGAATGTGGAAGCATTTTTGGAGGAAGTTTTCATTCTTGCTTATAACGGGTGATCATCACAAACTTGTAGTATTGTATTTTCTTTTCTAAAAACTATACTGAAAACCTGGGCATGTTTATGTTGCAGCTCTGTAATCTATACAGCGTGGTTGATTATCATGTGTATACGAGACTCTCCGTTTGAAGTAGGCCAGCAAGTAGAATCAAGATCATTTCAAGCAGGTTATCGTGGTTCATGGTTTCTCTCCAAGGTACAATTAGTTTAATGCATGAAATTGCTGGTTACATTGATTGGTTATCAAAATATTTGTCACGGAATTTACTTGTTTATTCCAACTATTGTGATTACAAAGTTTAGCTTGGTGGTTTCTTGAGTTTGGCTTGTTATATTGGCTTACAAACCTTGGCATGTTTTGGGGCATGTCCATTAGAAAGCCACTAACTGTTCGCTTTTAAACTGAAGTTGTACATGTCCTATGCAGGCTTAAATTGAATACACAGCATGTTTAAATTTCTATTTCCTATGCAGGCTTAAAGGATACTGTAAATTTACTTATTAGTTTTATTCAAATGCATTATGGATTTTTACAGGAAATTTAGAGCATTTCCAATACAATGCTATAATTGACGTGTCAATTTTAATTCTATCATTTGAGTGCAAAAAGCATTCTCTAATGCAACGCTATTTGCTGTGCCAAATTTGCCACATGCTATACTTTGTGGCAAATGTCCTACCAAGTGTAGCATATGGCAAATTTGGCACTTTATTCTATCGGATGGTTAACTTTTCATTTAATAATTACGGGGTCGTTTGGTTCGAGGGTTCAAGGGATTTGAACCCATGTTCCCAAGTTCAAACTAGTGTTTGTTTGCAAAAAGTAAAAGGAGGTTTGAACACCTTGATGTGATATTTAAACCCTCAAAATAAAAGGATTTCTAAATCCAAATCTCCCTTGGGTTCTCAAGGTTTGAACCAGGTTCAAACGTCAAAGTTTAAAACCCGCATGGTTCAAACTCAAGGTTCAAACCCCCCTTTACCAAACAAACCTTACAACTTTTGCTTTTTAAAATTATTTTAAGATTAAAAGTTTACTTCTACAACTTTTAAATCTTAATGATTATAAGAAAAGTAGATTTTAGCATTTCAAATAGCTTTATGTATTGGAGCACAAATTAATAATCATATCATGCTTTTGGCATTAGCATTTACATTGGAGATGGTCTTAGAATGGGGCTGATGCTTGCTTCATTTTGCGTTCTTAACTAGAGTATTTGATTGCTAATACAATGCACATGTGTTTGAGTAAGACATGAAAGCATTTTGTTTTGTAACAGATTCTGAATGATCTTTTAATCTTTTAAAACTAACTAAAATTGAACGTGTTTCGTTTATTGGAGCAAAGTAGATGACATACAGGACAATGACTTTTTCCTAGTTTTATTTTAATGTTATTTTCTTCTTTCATTGGGCACGAGATGTTAAGTAGCTACAGGTTTGGATATTACTTATCTCTCATTTCTATTTTATTTATGAGTTAAGAATGGCAAACGGAAGAAAAATTTGTTGAAAATGCAATATGGATTGGTGGAGGGTTATATCTGCTGTGACTGTCCTGCGGGTCTCTTAAGAACCTTTTTGCTGACCATTTTTGTTTTCTTGCGTTTACGAAATGTCCATTTCTCTTAAGAAAACTAAAAACCACTAGTCTCATAAGATGCATCGCTTGAAGCAAAAATTCCAAGGATTTCTGAAACATTGAAACTCGAAGCAAAAATTTTGCAATTGACACTAAAAACCCAAGGGAACCTTTTGAAAGTTTCGCATACATGCAGGTCATCATTAATGTTGCATCTAATATTGATCACTTTTTCATTTTTTTTTTGTCTGAATCTTGTTTCTTCTTGTGTGCTATTATTATTATTATTATTATTATTATTTGTGATTGGAATTAGAGAAGCTTTAAAGACGCATATACTTGTGTTGCATGGTTTTCCTGTTGTTGACTAATTTTGAGGACCGTGGTTGGTTCCCTTCACCCTTTATTAAAAGAGACACAAAAACTTATCCCTTTATTATTATTATTTTTTAATTCAATCCAGATAAAGGATGTCAGCTGGAGAAAAGGTCATCTTGGATATATATTGGAATTTCCCGACTTTCCTGATGAAAGTAAGTGACACCGGTGTATGGTACGTTGTGCCAAGGACTTTTGTGTGTGCGTGTGCGTGTTTGTGTTCATGGCTTAAGGCTAATAATTTGTGTCGGTATTTGTGATACTATGCAATTTGAATGATCGGATCAAAAGTACATGTATCTAGCATTTGCTTCTTCTAGACTTATGTGCATATATATTTAGGTTATTATGCATGTTGCATTATAGATCTTTAGATTAGCTATAAATATTTTTTGTTGGATTTTGTAGAGTAATTTTTTTTTTTAATTGGTTGTGCATGCGAATGCAAACAAAATGTCTGTTAAAAAATGTTTGGCTTTCTTTGGTGAAGCATGTCCCTTTTTTTTCTATTGCGTATAAATGTTAATTTGTCCTTTAATATTGAGTACTTTAAACACATGAGGTGCTTAGCTATATTCCTCCGTTTTTTTTTTCCTTTCTATACATATATTTTCATAATTCCTCGTTTTCTGTTGTTGTCGTCTCATCTCCAGGAAAATCTTGGACGAAGTTATATCAAAAGCCCCAAACTTATGATAGAAATGCGAAGCAAAAGGATTTGCATATTATGCTTCGTCCTCGCTTTCCTCCGGTATATCGTGAAAGTCAAATGCCTGACGTTAGTGCCATCTCAGAAGTGGTAGTTATTGTGAATGATTCCTGGAAGGTTGGAGATTTAGTTGACTGGTGGCAAGATGGTTGTTATTGGTCTGGTAGAATAGCTGAAGTGTTGGAGGATGGGAAATATCAGGTCAGGTTAATGCTATTCATTTGAATTATTCAAGTACTTTGTTTTCTAGTTTCTTTTTTTGAGCAACTCTATGCAATTCGATCTGGTTGAATGGTGGGGCCCACTTATTGTGAGACCACCCGACAGATCTCTTCTGATTGAATAACGTTTTTCATTCATAACAAAAAAAAAAAAAAAGTGAATTTTTTTTTTCTTCATCTTTTTTGCTTCATGGTGTCTTATGGTTCATTTGAAATACTAATTATTTTGCATTTTTCTCACTGCTCAAACGCAGAATGGAAAGTTAATTACCTTTTACCCTTAAAAACTTGATAAATTTTTTTAGCTACCTCAAAAATTGATCTCTCTTGTAGTGTCATCAATGACGAAGATTGTGCCCTGATTCCAACAAATTAAGTGTCAATATTTCCTATTCGTTTCTAATGAATGTTTTCATTTACTCTTTCTTATCAGATAGTCACTAGAGGTTTTGTTTTTGATGCTAGCCATTCTGAAAATTACTTATTCTTTTCATCCTTTGTATTTCTGAGTTTGATGTAGAATCTGGCTTATCTAATTTGCACATCTAGTGCTTCAAAAGGTCGTGAACCAGATGCTTGTTATAGTACTTACTGAACATAAGCAACTTCTTGTTTGGGGGGGGGGGGTCTAACGAACATAAGCAACTTAATTAAGGAAGTTCCCTCTTGCATTTTAATTTTTAAGCGTAATTCATGCTATTATCTTCATCGCGTCATCTTTCCTATCACAAAATAATAATAATAATGATGTCAATAATATCCTTCACTTGAAAGAGGTTTTTGCTTATTATGATCGTCGTCGTTATCATGATCATGATGTCAATAATATCCTTCACTTGAAAGAGTTTTTTGCTTATTTTGATCCAGTATTCTCGTGTTTGTAGATGGACTTGTTACCACCTCCTCTAGGTGAAGGATTATCTTATGAGGTTTGCAGCAAGGATCTCCGTCCGTCATTGGATTGGTCTCTCAAAAGCGGTTGGACGGTGTCTGCTCCTATGGTACCTTCCTTATCTTTTTCTTTATGTATTGTATTTCATGTGTAACACCTTTAGCTAAATTGTTGGACTCGGTGATGTATGAGAGATCAAAGAAATGGACAAGACAGAATCTAGAAGAAGAGAATAAGTCAGTTGCCCCATATTTTTAATGGCTCATTGCTTGGTGTTCCCTTGGTGGTTACAGGACTCTGATAATGGTCAGCGTTGTGCTCGTATAGTTAATCCTGCTAACAAAGGTATGATAGCGGGGACTGTATTTACACTTTGAGCTGCTTACTCTGTTCAAAAGACAGATACGTCCCACGTACTCGAACTATGATTATTTATTACTTCACAATATAGGAGTAGGGTTGCTCCAATTGTATGAGTGGGAGAATTTTGAAGCAAACATTGTTGATAACTAGTCGAATGTCTCTCTTGACCTACATGTATTCCACTCAATTTGCACTCAAATCAGAATTTCAAGGTCCTACATATAAGTTCAGAGAGCTTAAACTAGCATGAAAATGCACCACCCTAAAATCTGAAAAGGCTAAAAATTGGTTATTAGTAGTCCCTTTTCATTGGATTATGTTCTCTATGTTCGTTTTTGCCATCTTTTAATGAAGACACTACCGCACAAATGATAATATACCCACCCCAAATCTGAAAGTTTAGCTATGATCCTACTGCAAAACATAAGTACTTCGCAATAACTGTCTCAACATTATCTCCAAGATGAAACAATTGTGAAGCTCTTTCCCTTGTTTTTGGGGTGGCACATTAGTCTATTTCATTCACTGCTTGTAGTTAAAAACTTGTTGCTACTGTAGGGTTAACTTGATACCATCATTTAATGTAGTTATGTGCCAAAGTTGCTTACTCACCTAAGCTAAGCAGATCAAATCTGCAATAAATCGGACATTTTAACCTAGTTTGCATTTTTTCCCTGTAATCAGACATTTTAATATACAATTGCTGTGGTTGCAGGGAACACTTCAAGCTTCAAAACACGTAAAGCCAGTGAAAACAGAGACAGAGTTCAGGGTAAAGCTGGATCTTCTCAATCATCAGTTCCTTCTCGTGGTTCTGCTAGGTCACCAAAACCTTCTAATAAGTTGGAACAAATGAGAAAGCTTACGTTAGGTGCTATGGCAGCAGATAAGGAAATGCACACACCGGCAACATACATGGACTTGGATATGCTAAATGGTGGCACTTGGGAAAGCAGTTGCTCAGATAGTGACGAAAGTGAGTCAAGTGGAATAATAGGTGATGAAACTGGAGCATCAGTATCGGCATTTACGTCTCATGTTTCATCTAGCTCATCAGAACCTCCTGATAAGATGGAAGAAACCAAAAAGCGACCTCTATGTGCCATGGAAGAAAAGGAGAACACACAAGGAACAAAGACTGAATCCGATATGGAGAATGACAGCATTGGGAAAACAATCTGCTCAGATAACGATTCGAATTCAGACGTTAAAGCTGGCTCAACTGATGTAGGTGAAATGATGCTTGAAAAAGACAGACTTGAAGGCGGATCCTCAAAGAAGATGAAAACTGATGTAAACATTCCCCTAAACTTGATGTTCTCTAATACAATAGAAGCTGCAGTTTTGGACTTGGAGGAGCTTGTAAACCGGGTGAAATGGATGAAGAGTTTGTTGGAGATTGCAACATCTTCATCAAACACTACACGGCCCCCATGGAAATTTCTCGGGCACCTTGCCTCATCAGCACCAAAATGAATTTGTTCTGTAAACTCTAAGTTTGCATGATGAGTTTTCTTTGTTATATCATTTGAAATCTGCATGGTATTCGATTTTGGTACGAAGTGTTCTTCGCATCAAAAAGCTCTTTGGTAAGTTTTTTAACCCCTCAAATACTGACGTAAGAAGTTTTCCAGTTGAAAATGAGCAAGAAAACCTTGCACGTTATGTATAATCTAACTGTAAGTGGAATATTTGTAGACGATGAATGACCTTGACAAGTTTCACCAAGGATACTTGTGTCATTTCAGTAAAACTTGAACAAAAAAGCTCAAGTCTTGTAAACCAAATTTGCGTAATCAGAACAATCTCTTGGTGGTATTACTATAGTCGATTTTCGATCTGATTTTGGAGTGGTGACTTAACACAATTAGTGGATTTTCTTGCTTAGGAAGAAAACGTAATTGTCTCATCTGTGCTTAACATGCCGATTTCTTTTGCACTCTTGTGAAGATATAGTTCATTGATAGGTAAGTTTTCTTTTACTCAAAATAGTATTGACCCTAGAACTCGCTTGCTTTCAACTTGAAACTAATTACTCTTCCTTTCCGTTACAGAGTGATGATTGCTTGCTATGGAGGTCTTCTTATCATTGCCTTCTAAGATGTTGACACGTGGCCCGTAACTTAAAGGATGAAACAACTGAATCCATTTCCACGGCCTGGTATCAGTCTACTTTTTTCTTGGCTGGTCTTAAGCAGTTGAGTTGACATTTTTGAGACATTGGTTTCTCAATCCGGATGTGTGCGAAAAAATTTTCCAAGTTCACTCACCAAACTCTTCCACCAAATAGTACTTGGGACTCTTTTACCATTTCGGTTGATAATATGAACATAGTCAAGCCCAAACGAAGAAAACATTTGTTTTGCTTTTCCGTTAATGAAGTGGTTTGAAAAACTAGAGAATTTAATCCTTGGTGTGAGTCTGGAGCTTTACTCTCTATTCTTAATAAATATCTTTTTATTAGTGTAATTATTTAATTAAAAAAGTTATAAATCAAGACTAAAAGATAAAAATCTCGACTCATGCACTTTTTAAAATGTATTTATCAAGATTACCCAAGTATTTTCCATGACTGGTCTAGAGGCATGTTATTAGAATCTCAACGAAAAGAGGCATAGTTTCTTTTTGTATGTGATTTTCTTTTTATTGAGATTTAATAGTTGGATAGATAAAAGGACTGCCTTGCAACTATTTAATAGATCAAAGAGTTTACATTTTAATAGGCATTCACTGAAACATAATTTGACTTTTTTTAAAGGCTAAAAATAATATGAAGCCAAATACTGAATATATTATTAATAAGTAAATAAATGCATCGATTAACACCTCTCATTTTATTGTTTTCACATTCTTAAACCACATCAATTCTTCTTGTTAGTCCATCTTAAAATTTCTAAAACGTTCTTACAATTAAATTACTCATATTTTATTTTTCACACACGTTTTTAAACTATCTTCATTTTATTTATAAAAAAATCCCTACAATTTTTTTTTCTTTTTTTATCCACCCACCAATCAAACGTATCCTTTTCTTTCTTAGAATATTCTCCGTTAGGCCCCCTCATTTGGCACTATCGACAGTTCTTGTAAAAATGAGTTTTGACTCTGCTGTAATTGACTAATGAGGGTTTATGTTGTTATCGTGGACGTGCGGGCATTATATCAAAAGTTGGAAAATGCTTTCTATTTGAGCTATTACTCTCATGATATATGACGTGCTCATTTAATGGCGTTCACAATTTTTTTTTCTTTTGGAAATCTGCTTGAAAATAAGCCACCATTTTCTCTGACAATGGTCAGTTTCACCAAACATCGCTTGTCTCTTCTGATAATAATTGGGATCTCTCTTCTCCGGGATAAGAAAATGGTCGTTCTGCCCCGTCGTTAGCCGCCAAGTGTGCTCTGAAGTAAAATATCTGTGCCCATGATCCTATCCAAATGGGCGTTTATCTCTCGGCCATGGGGTAAAACTTTAAGCCCCACACAATGCAATCGCTGGACGCCACGTGGTGTGATTAAAATATAAAATATTTAAGACATAAAGATACGAAGTAATGATAAAGTGCACCTGATGAACGTCGACCTTTAGCGGTTAAGTATGCCTGTCAAAAGAGTTAACTAGAAGGAACAAGGGCCATACCGCGGAGACGAATGCTTCACTGGCCATGAACGAAGAGCGCTTCCAAAGAGCCAAAGGCGACGAACCCACCCACATTCAGACTGTAGTACAACTATACCAAGATTTTGTTGGTTTCTCAAACCGGATTTTCAAAAAAAAAAATTATGCAGAAGCGTGGTATCGATCGAATCACATAAATCAAAATTTAATGCGATCATTATTTCATGTTAATTTAACTACAAAGATATTAATGAGAAGAATGAGAATTTTACCGTCGCTCGATTATGACGTAAATCTTGAACTCCTCTAATACCGTCTTAAGCTCTTAAATTCCAAGAACACCACGGTTCTTTCTCAATGTATCTCCGGATTAACGTGAACTCGAACGTGTGAGCGTTCTAATGAGTTTTTCAACACATGAGATGGATGAATATGAAATTTTGTTCTCACGGGTTTCTCTTTTTCTGTTTTTTGTTTTTTGGAAAAAACTTTCATTTTTTTTAAGGAAAAACTTTTTCACCACCGAAGAACTAATTCTTCTGGCTCTATATCTCAATGTGCAGCCGCACATCCTCCTTCCACT